TWAAAAAAAAATKTTTATWTAGAACCTAYGTAAAAATACCMAAATTTTTTGATAGTAACTGCAACTACATAGATATAATGCCTATAATATTATTATTATTTAGACGATCTTTCTATTGTCAGAAATTGGATSAAACTTTGTTTTGTTAAACATTTTATAATTATAGGTACTGATAACGTTAAACTAAACGAATATTTTAAATTCGTTATTTCCTCGCRTTACCTAAATTCCATGAGAACTCTTATTAGAATCGTTTGAACCTACTGAATATGCGGATATGTTATATTAGGAGAAAAATAACGTCTGTAGTATGCAAATATACGCCGAATTGTATGATTGACCATGTTACGTCTTAAAAAAAATTTCGTAGCTAGCTCAAACTAGCTTAATAACCACGAATATGCATAACTAAGAAAAACTTCCCGAAAATATGACTAATCAACAGTTACAAATGTATGCCAATGAAGTATTATAACAATTATAGACKCAACTAATTCCACGTACGTATTTTGGTGGTGTTGACATAAAAATCCTTCACAAAAAATATAAATTTAAAATATTGCTTTCCATCAATATTGCGATTTACTATAGTATATTTTTATAAAAAATGAAACAACGATTGAAAAATGAAATATACATTCAGAACCCTAATATAATTTTKAGCCCTAAAGTTAATTATCCTATGAATGTTTGGAAACACTTAGTTACGACGATTGATGAAGTGTCAACTGCAGCCATTTCAGTATTTCATTCCAATAGGTACTCCACTTATCCCAATAAACCTCAAACTCTTTTAATCRATTTRATTTTAATGCATTATCTCAAATTCGTTTTATCAAAATTCTTCAAAAAATTTGCCGTCTCGAGACATTCAAATAAAAAATTATAGCAAACTTTTACATCGTGGTATCCAGCCGGTTATAGAGAWGGTGTTACATGATTGAAGGTACCATAATTTATGAATGAATAATAACTAAAATAATGGGTACAACTTAATAATTGATAAAAATACAGTGTTGAATCATGTTCAATGTTAAACTTTAACATTTAATCAATATTTTTATCAAAACATTCTAAACATAAAAAATTGTTTCGAGTATAAATACACATATATTATTTTAATTATTATACTTGTCGAGCATTTGACTGTAAAAGTTTTTAATATACCGTGCTAAAAATGATTGTATAAGATATCACTTTACCTTTTCCAACGTTACAGCTTAAACATTTCGTGAATTGTAAAACTAGCCGTCGCGTATGTAATGTAACTCGATATATTATATAGGTACTACCTATAATAATTTTATATCGATGACTATCAATTTCTWTGTATAATGTAGTCTATAATACCTAGACTGATGTACCGTTGCATCAATGGCTAATATACGTAYTTACAACGTAGGTCATGACATTGCAGTAGTATAAATCGATCGTCTATACAATATTTAACTATGCAAATACCACGGTATACCGCCCACCSACGACAACGGTAATAACCATWATTAACGTATTTGTGATGTTATGTCCGCAGGTCAAGTTCACGTTCGCGTCCGCGCTGCTGGTTGACAAGGCCGGCCGTCGCGTGCTGTTGCTGATCTCCGACTCGGTGATGGCCGTGTGCCTGGGTTGCCTGGGCTACTTCTTCTGGCTTCAGGAGCACGCCGTCGACGTGTCCGCGTTCAGCCTGATACCGTTGATCAGYCTGGGCGTATACATCAGCACGTTCTCGCTGGGCTTCGGGCCCATCCCGGGTGTCATGATGGGTGAGCTGTTCAGCCCGGACGTCAAGGGCCTAGCTTTGGGCATCGTGTGCGTGATCGCGTCCCTGCTCGAGTTCGTCGTCGTCAAGATGTACCAGAACTTGTTGGACTGGTTCGACCACGGTATCACGTTCTGGATATTCGCCGGGTTCTGCGTGCTGGGAACCGTGTTCGTGTGGTTCCTGGTGCCGGAGACCAAGAACAAGACGCTGCAGGAGATCCAGAACGAACTCAGTGGCAAGAAGAAACCGAACAACCGGAAGGACAACCCGAAGGGCAACCGGAAGCACCAGATGATGGACTCACTGACCGGCGACCACGCCGCGATCGTCTGAACACAAATCAAAAATATAATGCACAACACCGTCGCGCACGCGCACACGCATACGCGCAGTATAATTAATTCATTATACGACATGAGTGATATAAGCGATAGCTGCCTATATGTATATATATATATACATATTATAATTTAATGTACTAATAAATTGTGTAGGGTTTGTGGTTGTGTGTGTGCGTGTGCGGGTGTGCGATCGAGTCTTATGAAATGGGCGGGCGGGGTTTTTGAGGAAAACTATATTTTTTTACATTTTTTCGACCCCACACATTTTTTTTTTTTTAATCAAAAACTGTTTTAATATCAAATACACTGAAAAAACCGTTTTGTTGTTTTAAAAATGCATTTTTGTTTTATTAATTTTTTTTTGTTTTTGTTTTCAAATCAAGTGACTCGTTTTTCCGATTATTCTTCACATGTTGAGGATATTATATACAATGTTATATATGTTTTCGGATATTTATATATACACTTAAGAACCTACTAAGTTATGAATTTTATTTTTATTTTTATTTATCGTAACATTTACACCGTCTATTGGTATAACATTATAATAGGTAATATATTGCATTCCATTTTATTGCCGACTCCCGGAAGGATGCGAGTACCTACCGCATTAAATATATACATATATAATAGATTCACTGGAACGGGGATTTGTGAGTTTTATTTTTCCGACACTTTCACACGCAAAATCATGTATTCTACTTTCCTTCAAACGTTATTATATTATATTAAATTGTTTTCTTCCGAACTGAACGCGATTTGTTTATAATTGGCAGTGCTTGGCCTGAAGCCACGTAGTTTAGTAAAAAATAGACCGTCATCGTATGCATTTAGTTGTTTAGTTGGTACGTGTACAACACGCATCACTCCAAGCGACACAATACGTTTCCAGTTCTGTTTATGTTATATTATAATAAAAATATTCAGCTGACCAATCAGTTGTGTAGTATAGAATCTCACGCGATGTGCATGTGACAATAATAACGATTGAAATATTGAAAACATATAACGTACTTCTCCCTCTTCATCAGACGAACAATTTAAATCCAATATTATTTTTTTTAATGCAGACAATAAAATAGACGAGTTAATATAATATTACGTTTTTGTATAAACCCTTATTTTAAAACTATCCCSCACAATATAATATACCGTCCTCTCTTGTTTCAGAGTACAAAATACCTTCGAAAATATTGTGCTTCATTATTTTAATTAAATATATTTATATTATAAACAATTATATCATAAATATATGTAGGTATGTATATATATATAATATACATATATATATATATATACACATTAAACGATAAGCGGATTTGTGATTTATACACACATATATATATGTGTAAGCCGGCTATTGCAGGTAGTCTTAGTGTCTAAACAAAAAGGTCTAAATGCAGTTACATAGAGTTTGCTCAAACACAAATATTGAAATATTAAATATTTATTTTTTATACATATATAATTGTTTTATTTTGTATTAGGAACTAGGTATGTCATAATATTACAATGTCAATTCAAAGCACATTTTATAAATACTCGTTTCAATTTTTATACTATACATATTTTATTCCTTATATCACACACATTTAAAAATTCGCTCTTTSATTATTTTATGAATAATATTATTATTACAAATTTCGTTTAGATTAGGATCATTATTTATCATAATATTATATAATAATATTAAACTAACCGTACGATCCCGACGAGTCCGCCGTTCATTCACGTGGTCTTCCTAAGATTATTGTGAATTATATTATATTTGATTATTATTATTATAGCAKGTACCTACCAATTTAGTGACATGCGCTGCGTTCAAATTATCGATTTTTAAATAATGTATAATAATATTATAACTGTTATATATAGTGTACGTTTAAAATTATATTGTATTTACGCATCATTTTCACGTTGCATATCGCGGTCATTTAGTTTTATGTTGATGATTATTTTTTTTTCCGAAAAGATTTAACATACCTAAACAACAACTGCGATGTAAAATATTATTATTATATTATGTTGTCAACGCGTTGCTCAAGTCGCTCGCACCTATGCCGCGGTTCAACGATAGCTCGCGGCCAACGTGAAACTGGCCATTTATTATTGTTATTATTATTATTATCATTATTGTCGTTAGTAATTATTATAATAATAGTATATATATATATATATGACAATTGGTCGATTATCATAATTAACCGTACTATATTATGCTGTACACTTATTTAATATGTATAATGTATTGTAACATGTCTCTAGCCTTTAAGGTATTTATCATTTGTAAATATTTAGTTATTAGTTAGTTATATATAACTATGAGTAATAGRTATATTATTATAATAACGAAACGCGTAGCATATTAGTTTTAAGTAGACAACAAATTATTTACATACAATTATTATAATTAATATTAACGTATTCCAGACAAGACATCAATGTAGAGTTATTATATTATAGTTCTATTTTAATAATAATATCATTAAAATATTTTTTAATATAAAAAAATCTATTTTCATTATTTTGCTCGTCCACAATAAGTTTCATTCTTCCTCCGATTAACAATCCTATCAATTTTAACATCAGTACATCATTAATAACACACTACTGTCATTACCATAAATACATTTTTTTTTTTTTTTTTTATGGTTAGGGCTTCGACAACTGAGGTCATTAGCCTGAGGAACTGTAGGGGAAGGTACTGTAAGGTTTTAACTCGTGGGTTT